ATAGGTTCATGTATTTATTCTAAGTGTCACAATCAAATAGTGAATGCATTTATTTCAATGTATTTTAATTCCTAACACTTGTTCATTTAAATGGTGTCTACCGACATCTAATCTTCATTTCTTTATGCTTTGAGAAAAGTGGCTCCCAAAGGTCATGGTCATAAATGGTTTTGGCATTTATATAATGTTAACTTGTCAAACTTGGTGGGTGTTGTGACATAAGTGGGCGGTCATTAAATTATTTCTCATTTTCTTACAAACATGATTCAATATTATATATATATATATATATATCACCATTACAATTTTCTCACGAAATGAAAAGATCATTTATTTCTCTTCCATCAAATGCCTTTCGTCTTCGGTGTTCCTCTCCTATCAAATATTTATAAGCTACTTATTTTATCCCTAAGCTCCAACTTTGTTATTCTCAAACAGTTTATTATTTCTCTTGGCTGGACATCAAATTTTGCTATGCTCGATCATTATTCATTTTCATTTCTCACCATAAAAGTATAATGTATGGTTCATATATTATTCCTTACTCATTAGCCATGAATTTTTTACTTTTATGTGATTGGAAAGAGTGTTAAATCACAGGCGAGATAACAAAATCATGAGAAATTACATACACGATGCTGGTGGATTAGTTTTGACATACCTCTCGGGTAAAGTATATATTTATCATTTGTACCATGATCAGCTTCATGAATTTGGAGCTTTTTCTTTGTTTTTGCGTTTGAATCTGGAGGCTAAGATGGTGGAAGTCTTCCTCCTCATGGTGCTTAAGCATGATGGTTGCTTTAAGAAAGCTTAGCCGAAAGAAAGTGATGAAAAATGATCATGATAAAGTAAAAATAAAATTCATAATTCTGGCATATTGAGTTGATTCAAGAGAAGAATAATAAGTAATAATCGGATTTCTGATACGGAGGTTCATCTCAAAGATGCAACCGTAGAGCATACTCTCGTCATATTACAAATCGAGCTCTAAAGGGCAAAGACTCGTGCTGATAACGTGTTATAAAACTAGAGAGAAAGAGAGGGAATAGAGAAAATGTATTCTCTTAGGTATGTTTTTCATTATAACTGAAGCTCATATTTATAGGAAACTCCTGATGGCACAATTTGTAATAATATAAATACATTGAGGGCAAAATAGTCATTCACGTACATTATTTTATTATTTCATAACAATCTGGTAATTATTGTAGTCTTGAAATACTATATATTTATTTTGAATAAAATGTGAAATTGATATTACTAAACAAGAAATGCCAAAGTGTTACACATATAAAACCCATGAAAGAATTGAAATATTATATGTTTATTTTGAATTAAATGTGAAATTGGTATTACTTACTCAATGAAGAAAAAATGCGAAAGTATTGCACATATAAAACCCGTGAAAGAATTGTGCGTCACGAGAGTATAAAACTCTACATTTTTGCCTCCCTGATTGGCATGATGATAGATCTAAATGATCAAAAATTCATTTTCGCCTAACACTGTGTACTTCAACAGAATCTTAAAATGTGATGTATTATTGAAACTTTTTAATAAGTTCAGCAAATGTGTCTTTTTAATAAGTTCAGCAATTATGTTTGCATGTTTGAGTGTTTCTCTAATTGAAGGTGATTTAAAAATTTGATATACTATCTAAGAAATCAATCAAACCATTAAAGAAGTTGTTCACATTCAATAGATCTATGAGATTGTTGTGGGGATTTAATTCTGCCTATGAAACAATGTTATATAATGCCGTTGTCGTTTCATAACCACTTGGAACATTGATGAAAGCAGATGTTTTTCTCTATATCCACCACCATACGGTCATAACTAGAATGAGTTAACATTGTCATGGTGCAATCCTGGACGACCCTTGCAGAAATTATATGAGAATGTATGATATTTGTCACTTCTATTCTCTAACACTGTACAACCATTAAAGACTATTAAAGAAACTGGTGCTAGTCCCTCCATACAACAAATTAATTTTTTGATTTTTCATCTCCCTTATTAATCAGCTTACAATTTCAATATTTTGAGAAAAAAGTACTAGTTTAGATCCACCAAGAACACATGTGATGTTCATTGGATGAAGAAAACTTCTACCTTGTTAAGATTCTAAAACATCCATGTAATCAATTCTTGATAAACTAATTTTTCCAAAAAAAAAAATAAAAAATAAAAAATTGAGAGATATGTGATTATGATGAAGAGAAAAGTTTCACAAACTAATGAACGATTTCTCTGTTTTCTCTCTGACAATTGCAATCTATAGTTAGGAGTTGGTTTTAAATGAAAATCTTTATTTGTGAGCAGGTAAAAGAATTTTTATTAATTAACATGACAACATACTAAATTGTATTGATATGTTTTTTTCACAGTAACAAAACCAATTTCACAAACTTACATTTGAATAAGATTTTCAAGACTAACGTTCTAGGATTATCTTTTGTTGAATAGAATTATCGATTTAAAATTTGGGCCCTAATTTTATTCCCAAAGTGTCAACCTTAGGCTGGACGGACGAGTTATTTTCTTAGTCAATAATTTTGATTCTATTATTTCGCTTGTTTTCATTCCTTAAACACTACCACGTTGAGACAATGCACATCTCTATGATGTGACAAACTCGAGCAAAAAATAGTGTATGAGATAGTCTACTAGTTGGGTAAAACAACATTTCAATATGAAAGTATTCAAATTTGTTGAAAAGATTAAATTTAATCTGTAAGTCTATCTAACAGAAAGTCGAGGGTGCACACACACACAATAAAGACAGATCGCCTTTTTCTACCAAAGGCTTCAACTCGTCTTTGGCCAACTTCTTCACCACAGAGTCGGAGGTCTCTAAGTACGCATTAATTACCTTCGAGCTGAAAATTAAGTCAACGAGTAATGACAATCAGAATATTGTAATGAAATCGCAAGACTGGACTAAGTACAAATACTGCCATTCAAGTTTGTAACCATATCACCAAAAATAACTATTATAACTCAAACCTACAATTAAAGCCCTTAGCAAGCATTCTGTTTCATAAATGCGCTGTATTGAAAGAAAAAATTTTAAGATAACCAACTAACAAAATGCTTCAATTTTCGCAACCCAGTTAGTAGTCATTTGTACAACAAATATAAACATTAAGATATATTTAAAACATTAGATTTTTTTTCGAACTTTATAATTAACCAACAAGAAATAACTAACCTGTGACCCTTGGACCAGATTTCACATTTTCCTTTCAGAGCCTTTTCCCAGAGAGTCGAAGCAAATGCAGGGCAGTCTAGAACGAGTTTTCTGATGGCCCTACTCGAATGAAAATGTTCGAGAAACATCATCTGCAGGAACAGTGAAGCCAATGGAGGACACACTAACTAACCTGATCCAAAATAAGCTCCTTCAAATTCCCTTCGAGCTCACGACTTATAATCTGCACGTGAACAGATGACCGTCAGAAATGACAATTACTGCAACAGGAGAATGACAAAACTCAAAATATGATTAAATATACCTTAGACATGAGTTTTGTGTCATCAACAACCGAAAAGATACATACAAGTACCTGAACCAGTGATTGGAACAGTTGTGAAATTATAAAGGTCCATTGCAAGATCCAAAAACTAATGATGTAAGTTGATTAACAAGTCAAGCAATGGACAGATATCAATGGAATAGTAGAAAGTAGAAGAATGGATCAGAAACTTGCAAAGTCATAGTCATACCATGCTACCAAATTTGTCATGAGCTATTTTGTCTACATGGGTTTTCATGCCCTTGATAATTTTCTTCCGTTCCTAAACAAATAACACATCAAATAAAACTTTCAGAACAAATCCACCAAGAAAACAGTTAAGAATTGCAAGCTAATTCGAGCCAAACCTTTGCACTCCCATGCCTGATACGAGGACAAAGTTCGATTCTCGCATCTTTCCTTGGATTCTCGCGTATGCCAAGGAAGCAACCTTTTCACTATTGCATCTTTCCTTGGATGAGCGCTGTGGCTGCCGAGAAAAGTGGCAGGTGAGAGGTCTGAAAATGATGGAGGTTGTTAGGGTAGTTTGGGACATGGTCTTGACTTGACTTTTACTTGGCTTAGAAAGTGTTTGGGGTCGAGTTTTACTTAGGAAAAATAGGGGGGGCCGAGCTTGCTAGATACTAGGCCTAGGCAAGAAAAAAATTAGCTTCTTAGCTTAGTTGGGCTTGGTATTTGGTGGAACATGGCCGAGATACTTAGCTACTTAGTATTCATTTAGGCACGCTAGAGGTTGAATTGGCCGAGCTCTTAGCTTAGGAAAACTTAGACAAATATAATCACTTGGGCAAACAACTTACACACTTGACACATAGTCATAAAACACACTACGAAATATTTAAATAAATAAAAGAAAGCAATACAAAGGATTGAAGAAGATGAAGACACCCACTTAAATCTTTATTTTTATTAGGTAAGTTATTAAGAAAATTAAATAGACGAGGACATCTCTACTTAATTCTCATTTTGATTAAAGGATTTGAATTAAGATCAAGATTAAAACTTATTCGAACTATAAATGAACTGCATGTGAACATGATATGCTTCTCTTTAAATAAAAGGGGTGTTACACATGCAATGTAATACTGGACTTGGTCCAAGAAAGGAAATAACAAAAGCAACCGAATAGAATCTTTTCGTAGCTTACAATAGTAAATATCCCAAATAGTACATATTTGAATAAATTAGAAAAGGTAGAACAAAGAGTATAATTAATTAAATACCGGTGAAGCAATGGAGATGATTGGGGGAAGGCTACACAGCAGCATCCAACCACTCCAAACTACTCTTATGCACCATAATTTTGCACATTCCTATGTAGAAAGGTAACTCCATTTTATCGAATTCTTGCGTCACGAGATTGTATAAAAAAACAACAGTAAAGTGCTTCTTATCATCAGATGTCAGGGCCAACAACTCTGAATACTTGACCCACCCAACTGGGATTAAAAACTTATCATGTCGGACACCTAATTCTTCGAATCTTCCCTTGTGAGCCTCCAATGAAAAATCTGCCTTCTTTCTCCATTCCCCCCTTTCCGGTCGACTCATCTCCCAAATCTCCCACGAATAATCCCCAGAACGACGCAATAACGACAGATACCTTCCAGTCTGACAGGTAAATATTGTGTACATACCTAGTTCCAGCTACAGGGGGAGGGCCAGGGGTCTCTGTAAAAATTTCAGTCTCCAGATTCAGAGTCAAGACTTCGTTGGTAGGGGGATGAGTCCAATGCATGAAACCTTCAGAAATCATCAAATGATGCATTTGCAATGGTGTTGTGAACTCAAATTCAACTTTCCTCCATGATTTATCAACTCCAACGTTTAATATATAACAATACCTCTTTTCGCATATTGCACTCTGAGGCCAAAATATAACCGCTTTATACTCCATGGAAGCCGGCACATACCCAATTGCATGAAATCCAATTTGAACACGCTTCACAAGTGGAGGGAGAATAACGACTTGGCCTGTTGTGGGATTCATGGCATACAGATTATCCGTATCTCCTAGCTGATTCTCTAACCACAATCCATTACAACTGCTTGTGATAGGGCGCCTGCGTTTGTACCTCAACCTAGAAATCTCCACTCGGACCCCTCCTTGTGGGAGCATTAAATATGACCCCTGAATTGTACATTTGAATAGGAGTCCATAAGTGGCGTGCTGTAAGTGGAAGCGCATGAAATAACGGGTGTGAATGATATGGTACCATTTGCGGCAAACAAGCCTTGCCTCGTAAATATCTTTGCCTGGAATGCGAGCAAGGACTTCCATCAACAATTCATCGGATAGGGAGTCTATGTCTGAAACAATAATCTGCATATTCGAGGGATAAACAACATTGGCATATAGTGGGGAAAATATGAAACTTCGAACTAAAAAGATCTACAAAAACACTTGTTAGAGTACAAACTATTTAAAAAGAGATTATATATATATATATAACCTAATCTAACCTAACCTAACCTGGTCATTGCGTGGAAGCAGGAATTTGAAGGGTGCAACCTGAGCGGTCCCTTCTTCTTTGCTGGCAGCCTTTGGTAGTCGAGGCGGCGGTGGCTGCCGCACCATTGACTCTGGGATCTCAGGTGACCACGGAATTTTCTCATAAATAAGCCTATTCATCGATTAACGATCTGCATACAAAACTCTGATAAATAAATAAATCGGACAAAAGAAAAGAATAAATAAGGATAGAGGGATCCCGCACAATCTATATTTTCTACTTTGACAAACCCAATCAAAATATACTTAGGAATGGGGGAAGGGGAGATGGAGGCGACGGAAGTAGGGTTTGAGGAGAAAAGATATATAACCCGACCCTGACTTCGGGGTTAGCAGGTGCATTTGACTTTTTGAGTGTATTTAATTAAGATTTTAAAAAACTTTTTTGAAATTTTTTAAAATGAGAAAATTGTAATTTTGGTCCCATTTGTTTACCACATTTGTCCTAGGCACGTAATTTTTTATCCTTTTTAAATTTTTATTGTCAAAATGATTTAACTCCGTCAATACTAACAGTCTCGTTGATTAATTGTTAGTCAACGTTCATAGATAGAAAGAAATGAATCAAATTTTAGGACTTAATTTGCATTTTTCAAACGAGTGGGACCACATTTGCAATTTTNAACGAATTCTTCAAGTTGGTCTAGAAGAGAAGCCATATTATTTTGATGTTTAATTTAAAAGTGGAAAATTGACTTTTTGTTTAAAATGTTTGACTTACTTTAAAATATTTTTTTTATGAAAATTAAAATTATATTTTTATCTTATTGTGCACTTTAATTTTCAAAATTGCATGCCAAAATGTTGGAACATTTAATTTGTCCTATTTTCTTGAAACATATGCATATCCATAAATTTGTTCTAAAATGCAAATATGTTCAAAAGAGTAAGTGAGAAAATATACTTAAATTGTATTTATTAGCAACATTTAAGAAAAAAAAGTTTTTAGTAAATGTTAAAAAAAAGGTATACTACCATTCTTTCCTAACAATACATTTAGTTTGTTTTTTAATAAATTATAAAAGATATATATAACTAATATATAATTTTTTCACATGTTTTAATTTTTCGCAACTTAAAAGAGTAAGTGATAAAAAATATTTATAATTTATTTTTTATTAGAAACATTTTTTAAAAAAAAAAAATAGTAAATGTTGAAAAGGTATATTACCATTCTTTCCTAACAATACATTTAGTTTATTTTTTAATAAATTATAAAAGATAAATAAAACTAACATACAATTCTTTCACCTTTTTTTATTGTAAATTAAAGTATAACTTGATTTTTTCACATAAAATGATTATTTAATTGAGTAACTTAACAAAAGGTGTATAAAATAATTTTATTAATTAGTTCATGATAAAGGAGATGCAAAAAAATATATGATATATTTTACAGAGCAAATGTCTATTTTCACTTAATTTAATGCCAAATTTTGTTTTATAATGCTTAAAATTGATATTGTTTATGTAGATGCAATCTGCATAAATAAATAAATTTTTCAATTTGTAGTTGTTAAAATCAAATTAATAAATAAAAAATTATTAAAATAAAAATAGACAATAATAATAGCTCGAAAGATTCCGAAGCATTCCAGCTATTCTAGCATTGTTGGTGCCAGCACCTATCGAACCCAATGAAATGATGACTGCCTGCGAATTTTAAATTGACAAAATTGAATTATATAAATTAGCAAACAATACACTCCGAAAACCGTAGTTCAATAACTTGACCATTTCGCTCAATTCATACCAAACAAAAGAGGAAGAAGGAGAATCAAATTACCATTGCTACTTCTGAGTCGGCATCATGACTGAGCCTGCTCAATGTGTCCATTGTTAGAAACTGGGTATAAAAATACACGGAAATCCTACGAACTGATTTGTATTTTTCAGTTCTTACAAATAATCTAAAAATAGAAAATTACAATTGAGCCGAAAAATAAATTACAACTCGAAAATAAAATAAATCTTAAAAAATAAAACGGAAAGATTTTAGCCGAAGCGAGTAAAACTCTTTCCGCAAGAAGAATACGCCCCGTGTGTTGCTAACGGTTCAGGCGTAACTTCCCCAAAGATACAACGGCAAACGTCTCTAAATCTGTAGCACACCAGATTTATGAGCTCCGACGAACTGGAACGGAGTCGAGAATTGAGCACTTAAAATAGAAAAAATATCACTCTTATGTTATTTTGATAACAAATAAATAATTCTATATTTTTCCTCCTGATATTTTTATTCCTCCAAATATTTTCTTTTCCTCTCTTTCCTCTTTTTTCTCCCTTTCTCTGTGTGTTTTTACTTCTGCCCGAACTCCCCTATTTATAAATGGAGATTGAAGACAATTTGGCCAATTGGCCTAAATTGGGCGGTTGCCAATTGCAATTGTCCAATTTGGACTAACATTTTTTTTTATTGATCAAGTGGGGCGGCTAACAACCGCCCCTTACACTTTTTTCAACAATCCCCCACAAAAGTGTAAATTAAATATATATACTATGTGCTCAATCCTCAAAACACTCTATTGCATCAAAGAAGGTAGCTTTTGGCTCTGAACCTTTCCTTATAAACATCATCGGACGCATTGGCGGACTAGTGGACATAATTCCTTGAACTATTCCTCCATATTGTACACCGAGACAATGATATTTACACAATAGAGTTTTAACTCCATTCCGTTCTATCGTTGTGTCCGTTTTGGCCATGGACAACACAATGGATTCATAAGTGTTTACATTTGAAGCGGCACTCACTTCACACTTATATAGGTGACCTCCCTATCAAGAGTATCCGGATATACTCCACCTTTACAAGGTTAGGAATTCATTAAAAGTCCACATGACTTACCCTCACCACAATCAAAAGGTCATCTTGCACTTGGAGTGCTCTAGGGAATAACTTTGGACATTCATATGTTCCAAGTGCTCAACTGAATTATCATAGCTTAGTTTTCTCTTTGAACCAAGTTCGTGGGATCTCCACTCATCATGGTAGGGTTACCACTATGATCATTCTTTACATTGTGGATTTTTAAACCCATTCCCTCCAGCAAAACTACCAATTGATCTCTATTCAATCCTTTTGTCAAAGGATCAGCCAAATTTTCCTTAGACTTCACATAGTCAATGGAAATAACACCATTTGAGATCAATTGGCGTACGGTATTATGTCTACGACGAATATGTCTAGACTTACCGTTATACAAGTTGCTTTGCGCCCTACCTATAGCAGCTTGGCTATCACAGTGAATCATCACCGGTGGCAAAGTCTTATCCCAACATGGAATATCAGATAAAAAATTTCTAAGCCACTCGGCTTCTTCACCAGCTTTATCTAAAGCGATGAACTCCGATTCCACCGTTGACCGAGCAATACATATTTGTTTTTTGGATTTCCACGAAACTGCACCTCCTCCAATACAGAAAACATATCCGCTAGTGGAGTGAGAATCCCTCGATTCTGATAACCAGCTTGCATCACAGTACCCTTCAAGTACAGCTGGATATCTCGAGTATTTTAGCCCGTATTTAAGGGTGTACCTCAAGTACTTAAGTACCCTTCTCAAAGCATTCCAGTGCTCATGACTGGGATTGCTCGTGAATCTGCTCAACTTACTCACCGGATAGGCCAAGTCTGGTCGTGTACAATTCGTCAAGTACATCAGACTCCCTATTATCCGTGAATATTCCAACTGAGCCACTGGTTGACCTTTATTGGTTACCAGATTTATACTAAGATCAAGGGGTGTCTTACACATATGCCTAGATTGTGCACCGTCATAGACATCAAATTTCTTGAGCACTTTCTCTACGTAATGAGATTGTGACAAGACAATTCCATCATGGGTCCTGATAATTCTTATTCCAAGAATAACATCAGCCAAACCCATATCTTTCATGTCGAAATTTCTTTTCAACATTCCTTTCGTATCCATGATTACTTCATGGCTACTCCCCATGATCAACATATCGTCTACATATAGACATACAATCACAAATGTATTTGATGTACTCTTGACATCACACAGAGAAAGGGAGAAAAAAGAAGAAAGAGAGGAAAAGAAAATATTTGGAGGAATAAAAATATCAGGAGGAAAAATATAGAATTATTTATTTGTTATCAAAATAACATAAGAGTGATATTTTTTTCTATTTTAAGTGCTCAATTCTCGACTCCGTTTCAGTTCGCCGGAGCTCGTAAATCTGGTGTGCTACAGATATAAAGACGTTTGTCGTTGTATCTTTGGGGAAGTTACGCATGAACCGTTAGCAACACACGGGGCGTATTCTTCTTGCGGAAAGAGTTTTACTCGCCTTGGCTAAAATCTTTCCGTTTTATTTTTTAAGATTTATTTTATCTTCGAGTTGTAATTTATTTTTCGGTTCAATTGTAATTTTTTATTTTTAGATTATTTGTAAGAACTGAAAAATACAAATCAGTTCGTAGGATTCCCGTGTATTTTTATACCCAGTTTCTAACAATTGCAAGAAGATTATCTGTCATCCTACTGAACTGATGGTGTCCACCGGAGAAGGTTTTCAACATCAGCATCCGGTCAACCCAGTTGTTAATAATCCGGTACGAGCTGTTCATGTCCCCACTGCTGAGAAGCCTGAAAAATTCAACGGGCTTGATTTCAAAAGATGGCAACAGAAGATGCGCTTTTACCAAACCACATTAGGTTTGGAAAAGTACCTGAAGGACGATCCTCTAGTCATTGATGAAAATGAAACCAATGCTGAACTACGCAATGCGTACGAGGCTTGGATGCAAGGTGATTACCTTTGCTGTAACTATGTCCTAAACGGACTTAGTGGCGAGTTGTACAATGTGTACAGCTCGGTTGGTTCTGCCAAAGAACTTTGGGCTGCTTTGGAGAAGAAGTACAAAACCGAGGATGCCGGGGCGAAGAAATTCGTCGTCGGAAAATTTCTTGACTTCAAAATGGTTGACACAAAGACCGTTGTGTCACAAGTGCAAGAATTCCAACTCATCTTGCACGATATTCATGCTGAGGGAATGTCTCTGAGCGAGTCATTCCAAGTTGCGGCTGTAATTGAAAAGCTGCCGCCGGGTTGGAAAGACTTCAAGAACTACATCAAGCATAAGAGGAAGGAGATGAGTCTTGAAGACTTGGTTGTTCGTCTTCGTATTGAGGAAGACAACCGTAATTCATTGGCGAAGACTCCAATGATGGAAGCTCGTGCTAATTTGCTGGAGCAAGGCAACTCGAGCAAGAGAAAGTCCCTTGACAAAGGGAATCCACCAGGTAAGGTTTGGAAATTTACAGGTACTTGCTACAACTGCGGAAAGCCGAACCATATGGCGAAAGACTGCAAGAGGCCAAAGAAGGTTGTGCCAAAGAAAGGTAAACCGAGTGCCCTTGTGGCTGAACATGGCCTCGTGCCGGGTGAACTGACCGACTTTGATATGTCGGCTGTGGTGTTTGAAGCCAAATATGGTGATTAACCCAAGGGAGTGGTACATCGATACTGGTGCCACTCGTCATGTGTGTTCCGATAAGGAGGTATTTTCTGAATACACTCCTGCTAAGAGTCGGAAACTTTACATGGCAAACTCCGCCACGGCTGATGTGGCTGGAGTAGGCACTTTGGTGCTGAAGCTGACTTCTGGAAAGGAGTTGAAGCTTAAGGACGTTCTGCATGTCCCAGACATCCGCAAGAATTTGGTCTCCGGATCTCTTCTTGTTGAGCATGGATTTAAGTTGGTATTTGATGCTAAGAAGTTTGTTCTTAGCAAGTTTGGAACTTTCCTTGGTCGTGGATATCTCGACAAGGGTATGTTCAAAATGAATGTAATGGCCGTGAGCCGTGTAACCGTGTAACCGTTTCTAATGAGAATGAAAAGCCTATTTCTGTTTATACAGTTGAGTGCTGTGATTTGTGGCATGTTAGATTGGGACATGTAAATCTAAAAGCAATTAAACGGTTGATGAATTTAGAATTAATTCCTAATTCTTAAATTAAATCACATAAGAAATGTGAAATATGTGTTGAAGCAAAAATGGCTAAGTTGCCTTTTCACTCGGTGGAAAGGAGTACTGAACCATTAGGCTTGATCCATACTGATGTATGTGATATGAAAAGTGTGCAAACAAGAACCGATAAAAAGTATTTTGTAACTTTTATGGATGATTGCACAAGATTTTGCTACTTATATTTGTTAAGAAGCAAGGACGAGGCTGTGGAAGCGTTTAAAATCTATAAGACCGAAGTTGAAAATCAACTCGGCAAGAGGATTAAAATAATTCGAAGTGATAGGGGTGGAGAGTATGTAGCTCATTTTGAACAAATATGTACTGAATATGGCATAATTCATCAAACGACGGCCCCTTATTCTCCACAGTCGAACGGTGTTGCTGAACGCAAGAACCGTACTTTAAAAGAAATGATGAATGCCATGTTGATAAATTCGGGACTACCCCAAAACATGTGGGGGGAAACTGTTTTAACAGCAAATCATATCCTGAATAAAATACCACCTAAAGGGAAAGATGAGACTCCTTACGAATTGTGGAAAAATCGTAAGCCGTCTTATAAATACCTGAAATGTGTAGGGTTGTTTGGCTAAGGTTTCAGTACCTGAACCAAAACAAATGCGAATCGGGCCAAAGACGGTCGATTGTATTTATTGGATATGCATACAATAGTATGGCATATAGATTTCTGGTTCATAAATTAGAAAATCCAGAGGTATCTGTTGGTACCACGATTGAGTCAAGGAATGCTATATTCTTTGAGAATGTTTTTCCTCTGAAGGAAAGAGCAGAATCTAGTTCTAATAAAAGAACGTATCAAACTGCTAGAGGTTCTGTACCAGAGGGTACTGATGAAGAACTGAGACGTAGTAAAAGGGTAAAAACGATGAAAACGTTTGGACCTGATTTTATTACGTACATGTTGGACGATGGACCGAGTTCCATTAAGGAAGCTCTGTCCAGCCCAGATGGACCACTCTGGGAAGAAGCTGTAAATAGCGAAATCGAGTCCATTATGCAGAACCATACTTGGGAGTTGGTTGATCTCCCTGATGGTTGTAAACCTTTAGGATGCAAGTAGATCCTAAAAAAAAAATATAAAGCTGATGGATCGATTGATAAGTTTAAAGCACGATTAGTGGTCAAAGGCTTTAAACAAAAGGAAGGGTATGATTTCTTTGATACCTATTCACCGGTTACGCGTTTAGCGTCGATAAGGGTGCTTCTCTCGATTGCTACTTTGCACAATCTTGAGATTCACCAAATGGATGTCAAGACGGCATTTTTGAATTGTGAATTGGAAGAAGAAATATACATGAAACAACCTGAAGGGTTTCGGTGCTTCTCTCGATTGCTACTTTGCACAATCTTGAGATTCACCAAATGGATGTCAAGACGGCATTTTTGAATTGTGAATTGGAAGAAGAAATATACATGAAACAACCTGAAGGGTTTGTTGCACCTGGACAAGAGAGAAAGGTGTGTAGATTGATCAAATCATTGTACGGACTGAAACAAGCTCCTAAACAATGACATTTGAAATTTGATGACGTGATGTTGTCAAATGAGTTCAAAATCAACGAATGTGACAAATGTGTTTTTTTACTTCTGCCCGAACTCCCCTATTTATAGATGAAGATTGAAGACAATTTGGCCAATTGGCCTAACTTGGGCGGCTGCCAATTGCAATTGTCCAATTTGGACTAACATTTTTTTTTTTTTATTGATCAAGTGGGGCGGCTAACAACCGCCCCTTACACTTTTTTCAACATCCATGACATTGACCTATCCAGATAAAAAAATAAAAAATAAACAAATAAACATATAAAAATAACTCAACCAAATGTGTAAAATCATTGTTTACATTACACCTCGTCTAAGCAAATAGAGACTATTTTGACTTCCAAAATATTTTTGAACTCCTTTTCCATAAAGACAAAATATAAAAACAATTTAATGAAAAGTTTGTGCTTAATTGCAGAATCATGTTCCTTGCCCATTGTCAAAGAGGTAAACAAGTTCAATTGCTCACTGGCAAGCGACAAGCCAGAATCCCACAAATTTCTAACTGTGGTTTTAATTTTTTTTTTTTTTTTTAACAGAACAAAGTGCAACTGCTACATTTGAAAAAGAACACGACCCAGTAACACATTACCTTGGGGTTTGATATGCAAAGCAGACCAAGGGCCAAGGGAACAGCCCTCCTAATGTTATGCTCACCATACTGCAGAAGATGCTCCAATGATCGAATGGCCATCTCAAGCCCCAATTCCATCAATGCAAATATGATTGTTTGGCAACATCTTCATTACAAGAACCCACATATACCAAATCCAAAGAGATTGCTGCAAATGCAATCACATCTAGAGATGACTTTCCATCCCCAAGTAGAGGCATTAATAAAATGCTAACCTGAGAACACACATAGGGAATGAATTATGTCAGATCTAGGCAACTGGCCATACAACAAAGATGGGATGTCTACATGCATTTCAGCAATTGACAGAGTACAGTCTCAAATTGGATGATGACAGAGATGATACTTGCGCATCCTTAGAAACCGCATATGCAAGACCTAGGCCCATTATTGCACAGAAGTGTCTTCTCTGTCCACATACTCTGCCAAAAGTGCTAAAGCCTGAGAAAATGAAAAGAAAAAAAACAACTTTATATGCCAGGCACCTTCATGTGAGTAACATATTAAAATTTGGCAACTCAAGGTGAATACACACAACAACATACCCAGTATATTCCCAACAGGTTGGGGGGTCAGTTGTACGCAGACCTTACCCTTGTAATTATACAAGAAGGCTGTTTCCGTAGCGACCCAAGGTGCATTGCGCCGTTTGATATATTTTTTTTTTCCTAGAAACTTCACTAATAGAAGAAGCACTAGAATTTAATTGAGCCATTTTGATCTAGTCCATTATTAGCACTGTGCCAGGAGAATTGTCAACAATGACTCTTCCAGCTCCATTTGCAATGGACAAATCAAGGTGAATACACAAAATACATAAATAGAATATTTTGAACTCGTGTGTTATAGCATGGTAACATTTTGGACAAGGGTCAAAAAGAAAATTTTACAGGATCACATTCATTCTGGACATTGCAGTTCACAATTCCAACTCCTAGTAAAGCACCAGCAGTGACATGTGAATCAGTACTGTGGAAATATTTGTCCAGTTGAGCAAGGCCAGAGTCCTCATCCCAAAGATGAATCATGCCCTTCAATAATTGACAAACAATGTTTACTATAAAGCTATTCAATGATATATCTAAAAGAAAGAGTTGATACGCACCAAACTTGCTGCAGCACTGGCCTTTCCATGTTCCTTGTTCTTAAAGAGCCAGCTAGTGGAAGAACCACCACCAATGGAAGCTTCAGATGGAACAGTCATCAACTTATCCTGCAAAACACCTCAACAAAATAAATATAAAGGGAAGACTTGAAAGATTAAGTTAATTATGGTTACTAGACAAACCTGGCCAAAACCAGTATTTACAAATGCATTGACAAATGTCGCCGCCAAATTCTGGCTGCAGAATCAACGGTTCCTCCATTACCACCACGCCCATCAAGTAGATGTGCCTAGTTACATTTTCAGCCAAATTCATGTGTTTAAAAGTGGGAAAGAACAAAATATAAGAATATAAACCACCCTATAATAACAGCTACTAACACAGTTACCAGATATGACATTGAGAAAAATGTTTATATGTGAAGGAAACAAGAACGATGCAAGGTGCAACAACTAAGGGCGTATAAATAATATTCGATAAATAGAATATTCCGAGAAATTCTATAAATCGAACGGGGCGTTACACATCCCCAACCAATTATAATATTACACATGTCAAATTATACTAAGACTGACAATCACCATTGGAGACAAAATTTTGTAGTTCTCTTTCTCCATGTTATACATCTCCAAATGGACTATATACCATTGGAGATGCTCTTATTTAAAGGCGCAAATAATTAGGTGTGTCAAAGTCTTTGTGAAATACAATTTCTCAAAAAAGCGCATGAGGTAAGGTTTTTTTTAAATGCATGTATTCTATTTCTATTGGATAATGAATTTTATATATCATATTATATAAATTAAATTATCATTCATATTTTATATTTAAATAATAATAATAATACCAAAATTTATAATTTTTCATTCTCTGCAAATAGAGACCACATTTGATAGGATTTAGAACACAATTAATTTATCACTTTTCACAATTAATATATCTTATTGGAAGATGAAGACGCAAATCCATAATAAGATGAACATATTACATAGTAAGATGAACATGTTATAGAATCAGATGAACATGTTACATATTTACACATTAAGATGAACATGTTATAAAATAAGATGAATATGTTACAAAATGAGATGAACATGTTATAAAATAAGATGAACATGTATTATTTCATTCTGCAATCCGTAACATGTTCATCTTATTTGATAATATATTCATCTTATTATATAACATGTTCAACCTATGTCAGTATAATAAATTGATTACGAAAAAAAATAATTAATTATGTTCAAAAACCTATCAAATGTGGTCTCTATTTATAGAGAATGAAAAATTATGCATTTTGGTATTTTTATTTTTTTATTTTAATGTAAATCATTAATGATATTTTAATTATCTAATATGTCTCATTTTCAATTAAAAAAAAAAAAAAAGGAAAAGTGGCATGTGTACTACAATTTCTCATTTTTCTGGTTTTTGGGGTGAATCCGCGCGTGCATAATTGCCCTGGCACACCTTGCTAGGTGTGCCAGGGCACACAGTAGTGGCACTGATTTAAAGGACTCCTCATCTATTGTTTTAGGCAGTTGACGATGAATAAAAGATGAATTGATATCGTGCTTAGGTATTTTTTAGGTTGCAATCTCATTAATATTGTCCCACTCGTACACTTCCCTACATCAAAATACTAACACTATTCTTGTTCGAATTCGAATTCGAATTCAAATTAGAGGACCACGTTTAAAGTGGTCAAATCAAGGTTCCTTCACTAGTCTATGCTCCGCGTGACCGGTGATTCTATACTTTATGCTCGTTGTTATTAAACAACTAGTACTTTTTTACTCGTGCACATCCACAGACGAAGGTAATTTAATTATATTATAACAATTACATAAAATTTAAATTCAACGATATGAAGAAAAAATAAAATAAAATATTGTTTATTAAAAAAATTAGTTGTACTCAACATAATATATATGTCTCTTATCTATATAAAATTAAAATATCTTTGTGATTGATTATATTTAAAATTATTAGTACTGGTTATCATCGAATGTTAACAATAAATTCATACTTAACTAATATATTATGGTGACACATAACATAGTGAATTTAATGACAATATATATATATATATATATATTTGATATACTTAAAAGTTGTAGTTAAAATAAATGTGCATTTTATGTATGGTTTATATATTTCTCATTAACCAGCTCCAATTGATATATGACATTAACTAATTTTATCACTTTTTTTGACTTTTTGATTGAAACGAGCTATATGTTCTCATTAGGCTATGTTTATAGCTTATTTGGTTAGCTTATAAGCTTCTTGTATTCAAATAAAATTCATTTGGTAGGACGAGTTTTTTTTTAAAAAAGCTCGAGTTTAACTCATAAGTTTTTTTGGATAGCTTTGCAAATAAGCTCGTTGAAATTTTTATTTCAACTAGCTTATAAACTAATTTACCAAATACTTTTATCATATAAGTTAACTTTTCAGCTATAAGTTATAAGTAATAAGCTATAAACTCGAAAAATCATTCATGAGATATAAGTTAACTTATCAGCCATCATCTAGCTTATCAGCTAGTTTTACCCAAAATAGCCTTAGTAATTGCACTTATATTTTGTATCGTTATAAAAAAATCATAATAATTAGTTGCACACAGTATTATGTATAATACAATTTTTTTTTTTATTGGGCAGCCATGCTATGCACTCGAAACAACCCTAAACCCTAATTTTTTTTATTATATATTATTTTAGAAATGAAAATAAGTAAATAAAATAGACATGTATCATAATTTACATTATAGCACTTGGTAATCATGAAAAAATATAAAATATATAAATATTCAGATGGATACTAATTAACTCATTATATAAGTTGAAAAAATAAATTAAAGAAATTAATATAAAAATAATAAAATATTTAACCATTAAAAATTTGTGTTGCATAACAGCATAAGGGTTAAAGTTACTAAAACTTGAAATTTAATTATCAAACTTTTTAACATTTCATGCACTTAGAATTCTAATAAAAGAATATAAATATTATGAGTTAAACGTTGGTCAATTATCGAACAATGTGTAAATTATAAATTATTGAAAAAGTTATAAGACTATGATATCCGACAATTTTATAAGTACATGTAATTAATTTGCATGCAAATATCAAATGATTATATACATTTATAATATTTTATAATTCAAATTATCAATCATGAACATTTAAGTCTATATTATTATCATTATTATTAATAGGTGCTTGGCAGTTGACATAGGAGCTTATTTCCTCAATAATTATATAATTATTGAAAATTCTCTCTTAATATAAGTTCCCCACCTTTGCCAGCCAACTAAAATAATTGAAACGAGCTCCATGTTTTGGTGTGCAAAATATAGGCGCCATTTTTTTTAAAGCAAAATATTAGGCGGCAATATTCCAAAAACTTAGGACAAGATCTCATAATTTCACACCACATAGATTTTTTGGAGAGCATTTAGGCGGCAATATTCCAAAAATATAGGGAAAGATCTTATAATTTCACACAAACATAGGTCTGATGAACTCGAAAGCTTTCCGGCGAGACTACTCTTCCTCGAATCGCGTCTCCCAAAATCCAGTGTTCGTCTCGTCAAATAAAGCAAATCAATTAATCATCATCAGAAGACCTGCTCTCGGCCGTTTCTGTACCCGCCTCCGATGACGACGGATGAATCAGGGTTACCCGAATGGAGCCCCCTTGAGAGTAGCGTGTAATTCGGGAATGTCGGAGCTCCAGTGAAAGATAAGGTTACCGGCCAGTGGGAGGTAGTGGGCGAGTGTTTTGTAGAGGGAATTTTTCATATTAGTCGCGATTTTCTGGAGTAATATACCAAGTCTATATAATTACGAAAATATTTGTCATTACGCACTTCACATTTCATTTTATTATCTCGTTTGGTTCTGAAATTGTGGTGTTGAAAATGTTAATGTCTCGTGAAAATCAGGTGTACTGTGAGACGGTTGGTGATGGCAAACTCTCTGAAGAGCCACATTGTTTTAAAGTTACATATGACGAGCATGTCATATCTTATGGAGCTGAGCCATTGACCTTCGACATAAAGGGAGTTAAAGAACATGCATTTTTTCCTGCTACAAATCTCATGTTCATTGCCTTCCCAGATTATACAATATGTGTTTGTTTGACAATTTATTGGTTTACGTTTATGAAGTTTATATGAATCTCTTACTAAAGAAGATTATAAATTTCTCTACATAAAAAGGTTTTTTACATTGCCACAAGCAGTTAGTACGAATTTGAACCTTGTTATTGAAACCTTTTTTTAACTACATACACACTTCTAATATATTGTATTTTTGTTCAATCAGTCTTCTACTACGAGATTTTGAACTCTCCTGACCGAGCTTGTAATCTCGCCAAACAGGTCTGATTGATATAATCAATCATAATTGTTCTTATACTTCTGGTACACTGACTTTCCATGCATCATTTTAAACTTGTATCGTTGTCGATCTTTGACTTTTTCCTTAAATAGAAGAAATACTTGAAAACACCCACTAAATATGAACTTGTAATTTGTTGGCAGTAAGTTTAAAAGGTTGCTGCTAAGGTTTGTTGTACTATTTTAGGCTTTTGATGAGGCCAATGGTGAACTGGACACTCTTGGAGAAGATTCATACAAGGATAGCACCCTAATTATGCAGCTTCTACATGACATCCTGACTTTGTGGATGCGGGTAGAAGCTTCTTCTTTTCTTCCAATGAATAGCAGTTATTGTTTAAATGAATTGGGCAACTGATATATTTACTTGCTTTTTGGTACATGATTACATATCTGAAGAGAACAAAGAAGCACCAAAGCCTGACATGGAGCAACTCTCTCCGAGATTAGTATATTTGGGGTGTTCTACTATTCTCTGTAGTAGAGTCTGCTTTTAAAAATGGAGAAAAAAAAAAAGAAATGCTACTTTTGACGATTATCTAGCTTGATGATGATTAGTTGTTTGGTGGCCAACGTCTTTATGGTTTCAACTTCTATAACATAGGGAACAATAATGGTGTTTGTTCTTAGCTTGCTTATATAATTGATATTGTTTTTAAGGAAAAAAATCATTTCTTGTGTATATAGTATATTCTTGCTTTTGTTCACCTTTTGGATGATTGAACATAATGAGCGCATTATGGTCATAAATCATGATGCTAGACCAACATGTGCCCAGCAGTTACGAGATCACCTTTTGACTTGATGGGAAATGCTCACATGTTAAAGTAGGTAAAATAAGGTAGTCTCCTTTCTATATGACTAATGAGATTCAATCCTCAAATGCATTTGCCACTTTATTCATGATAAACACTTGTATGAGATTGAAGATTGGGTACATTACTTGGCCAGTATCAAGTAAAATGATATGGTACATTTGCCACGTACCATGGCAAATATCTCTCCAAATTGATTAACAATTCAAAACCACATTCATGAGAATCAAGTTTTAAATGAGACCCAAGTATCATGAGAAAATTACCCCACAGACGGTACAAATCTTTTTTATCTGCCAATAAACGAGATTATGTTTTTATTTACAAAAGAATGAGAGTTGAGTATAAGATACGGTAATAGATGATACACATCACCCTACGAACAATCGCCTCTCTATTTTTTTTTCCTTTTTCCATCACAGACACCACGCCACCATGAAATTGGATTTGAAATCACTTGATGGTGGTGAGAAGAAATTGAAATTGCTATTGAAATCACTCGACGGTAATGAGAAGAAATCGCTCGACAAAGGTTCGTTTTGTGCTCAGGCATCTAACCACATCCAACAAGAGGCCATAGCATATCAGATCTGAAAAAAATAGATGGAGATGCGGGCTCAATGGCTTGTCGAATTTAATCTCAAAACTAGGTACTTTATTTGTAGATTATGATTTAGTTTTGTTTATTTTAGGAGATTCGATTTAGTTTTGTTTATTTTAGGAGATCCGATTTGAACTCGGGCTTTTTAATGGCGAAGATGGAGCACTAAATCATATTGTAGAAGGAGGTTGGGGTTGATCTAAAGCTCCTTTCACGTGAATTTATTTGTAGTTTATGACTAGTTTATTTATTGTCTATTATAATAAATTTAAGTTTATGTAAATATAAATTAACAGTTTATTTCGAGTTATTTCTGTAGTTTTTTTTTTAGTTATTGAAAGGTATATTTCTTGTTTATCTGATGTGAAATTTTCAAATTTGTGGTTTATTTTAAGTTATTAGAATGTATATTTCTTGTTTATTTCATGTGAATTTTTTCACACTTTGGTCGATGATGATGTGCAAAACTTTGACCTTTCGAAAGGAGTTCTGCGATGATTGATCTTCAATCCTTTTGCGAAAAGAAAATGTGATTTGAATAATGTAAAATTTCACACTAATTCATAAGTCGATATGTGTAATAAGTTAAATAAAAGATCGTCCAATTGCCTAACTTTTTAGACTCTCGTTAAAATTAAAAGCCTTGAAAATATGTCCGTAAACCTGTAAATAAGCCAAGTATCATTGACATACAAAGCGTCACTTGATGTACATCTCATTTGAAATGAGACTCATGCTTTAAAAGACACCCAAGCTCATTAATATCCAAGGGGAAAACTTGCAGGAATAATATTAATATTCTTCAGTATGTAGGCTTGACCAAGATGGCTTGTAAAATTTATATTGATGATGAACAATGCCAAGTAAGTTATTAACATCCAATCATATTAGAAATGAAAATGCAAACATCATGAAACCTATTTAGACTAAAAACACAATAAGAACTAGCATGATCTCAAGTAAAAGAAGCAATTAGACAATACTACAAAATCAGATGACAAAATGAGATGAAGTAGCTACCATCTTCTTAAAGTAAATGAATGTTCATGTGTGATTTTACACCATATTTATATAGTATCTAGAGCTTATTCATTGCATTATTGGTGTATAAATTGCATTATTGTGCTATAATTCTATATCTTGTTGGAAAGATATTACACGTGCTTGTTTTGTAGATATTTTCATATATTTGTAGAGCTTGTGGCTATTGGAGGCGCATGGTGAGTACCTAAGACCACCGGGATGATGAAAGATTGATGCAAGAATGAAAAAAATGGAAGAAACGAGCGAAATGAGCAAAAATGAGAGTGCAGATTTGTGACACGGGCAGTGACATGAGCATCATGCCCGTGTCAGAGGCCGTGTCACCTCAACAGAGAGAATTCGAAGCCCAGGGACCTGACACGGGCAGCGACACGGACGGTGACACGGACAGATTGGCCGTGTCGCGCGCGCAGGCTGTTTTTTTATATCTTACCTATATTTTGAAAAAGAGAAGGGTTTTGGACATTATAAAAGGTATATTTACTCTATTTTGAGGGGAAGAACGTGGGATACACAAGGAGGAGGCCCTAGAACATACAAGAGAAATAATTGAGAAGCAAACGAAGATCCAACTACAAAGGGATCAAGAAGATTGAAAGATCGACGACATTCCTAGTTTTTATTTCTTCTTTCCTTTTGAACTTTTATTGATCATGTTGATTTCTAATATGTTGATGTATTTGAATTCGAACATGAGTGGCTAGTTTATTTGATTCTAGGACTTGGTAGTAGATTAATATGTTGGGATTTTGGATGAATTATTCGAATTGATTGTTTTCTTTTGAACCATATTCAAATATTTTGTTCTTATTTCATGTTTAGCACTTGATCAATGCTTTTACATGTTTGACAATATTGTTCATAATTCGAGAGATGAGTTCAATATTAGGTCCTTAATATTTGACACAATTTACTTGCTTGAATCGAGAGATTAGTAGGTCGTTGTGAGGATATTAGATCTTTTAATCTATTTGGAGTTGAATTGCATGTGTTGAGTGGAGACGCCAATATATGTGATTTAATCTACGGTTTTATCGATCTCGAGAGGGACGATAAGCTAAATTTGTGATCATCTTATAGGGGAGATAAAGAAAACATTGGTTGTGATATTTTTGAGGAATCCAACTATTAATTGAAACCAAAGGTTTAGAATCTATCATTCCCATATACTTTTAGTTCTTTATTTTTTTTTATTTATTTCTCTTTGATTTATTTTCTTAGTTAGTAAATCCATCCAATATTCGATCGTCTAAATAAAATTGACATTATCATAATCTAGTACTTGATATATTGATTATTTGGTCTCTTGGGATACGACCTTGCTTGCCACATACTACGAGCGAATCCGTACACTTGCGGTTGAACTTTAAAAATATAGGCGAACAATGAATCAATAAAACAATATAACAAAATCAAACTAGTAGCTAGACACAAACCAGAATCCTTTCAATAGTTATCCAAATAGAAACTTAATGAAGCATTCAAAGGACAAAACATATCAAGGGTTCATTGTCCTTCCCATCAGAAATATTACCAATAAACCTCAAAATAACACACTAACAGAATCTGAAATCAAAGGTCCTGACAACCACAAACACTAATACTAGAGTTTCAATATCTACGACACATTAAAATCCACCAATATAACCAGGCATGCTCAAACAAACCCACAAGGTAAGCCTCAACGGCCTCTTGAAGTGCCAAAACAGCATGGCTCTGGAATATTGTCGCCTAAGCACATTCAACATGAAGAATAATGTATATTTGGAATATACAATAATGATGTTTTTTGAATAACCCATCACCAGCTGTTTCTTGTACACCAACACTCAACATGCCTTGTCTTTTATTCATAACTAGAGTATCCAGCACTACGGAGGCTATACCCTCAGCAAAAATAAAAAGGAGGACACTCAATTGTGATGCGTTTCCAGCAAAGGAGCAATCTCTTTCACTGTGAATATCTTTTGATTGCGCCTACAACAAACCAAATATGTGTACATTACAATGAGTTGAAACCAGGGTCTTACATTAAATTTTAAACGACAATGTTGTGTATAGGGGAAACTTTGTAGGTCAAAAGGAGTATAGTAAAGGTGCACTAACTGAGGAGGTTTTGTTAAACGAAAAACAATATTAACCTGCCCCACCCTCCCAAACGCGCATTTTAAGGTGACTTGGAGAGAGAACTTGAACAAACTCTGCAACATAGAGGACAATGTGTCATGAAGTAGAAATATGTATTTAATCTTTAATCGACGACTTGTAATTATGAACAAAATAGGTACGAAGATTGCAGGGGTAGACTTCAAATCATTGTTTTCGCAAAATCGGGAAATGGAAAAATGATAATGAAAAGAGCTCATCTAAACCTGATAAATGATGTTTAAAATCCATATAATTCAAACACCATGCTTTTTCCAAAATAGAAAGAAAAGAATATATTTTAAAATCGGTTCTTACAGACATAAAACCAACTCTTCAGGTAAGATAGTTAAAACTGATACCAGTGTTTGTTCTGGCAGGGTACACAGTGTGATGCTCAAATTTCGGGCCAATTTTGGCTAAACTCAGTTTATCAACTTCCAAATCATGTACCATTACAAGCCGAAAGGAAGAAAAAGTGATGAACACTACAGATTGATCACAAAACCAACTAAACCTGAAACAACTGTGAAGAAAAGGTATACCTCGCTGGCTTCTGTACTGACATAATACAAGTCACGTTCCAGATTGATCCATCTACGTCAAATCTTGCCTTAGCTACGAAGTGAACCTTATTTGGAGCTAATCTTGTGGGAACATCTAATGCCTTAAAAATTGGCTCACCCATATCAACTTTGACCTAAAAATGCAATTATTAATAAAAGTGGTATAAGATAGTGATCATACAGATTTTTTAGTGGTATAAGATAGTGATCGTAAAGAATTTTCTAAGCATACAGTTTTTCGATCAGAGTTGAGAACCAAAGAACAATAAATGCATGCTTAAGTTTGTTCAAGCACAATTTGTAACCCATAAATCCAAACTAAACGAGTTGTTGAATGGTGGAGGTACCTTGCCATCTTCTTTGTTCGCCGCGAATGTGAGAGGAGGCCGCGCGAGTTTAAGGGTCCGCATCTGGTTCAAGCAAGGTTGTCAAAATCGAAACGGTCATCGAACCGGTGAAGCTACTGGTTCAATGGTTCACTAGTTGGACCAGTGGTCGAACCGGTTTAATTAATATATAATTTTTTATTTATTTTATATGTATAATATATAATTGTAGGGAAAATTTCAAAACTAGTCCCACAGGTATAGAGGGTGACAATTTTGGTCCCGACGGAATGCAGAAAATATAATTAGTCCCACAACTTTTAAAAAATGATCAAAAGTAGGACTTTTTCTCCAGATTTACTATTTCCGGCCCGGAACGCCACGTGGCATCCGACGTGTTCATATTTTATTACAAGTTGTAGGACTAGTTTTGAATTTTCTGCATTCTATCGGGACCAAAAATGTCACTCCTCTATACTTGTGGGATAGATGGTAAATTAGCCACGTGTGCGCCAGCGTGTAAAAAATAAGCCACGTGTGCGCCACGTGGTGTTCCGGGACGGAAATAGTAAATCCGGCGAAAAAGTCCTACTTTTGATCATTTTTTAAAAGCTGTGGGACTAATCATATTTACTGCATTCCGTCGGGACCAAAATTGTCACCCCCTATACCTGTGGGACTAGTTTTGAAATTTTCCCTATAATTGTATATATATCTTTCATCAATTTTATGGTGTATAATGATATCTTTCTAAACAATAGTTCAATAATAGATACATCCAACAATGTTGATAACTTTTTCTTTATTCATTTTTAATATTTTAAATTTTAATATATATTTAAGTTTAGAAGATATACAGTCAGGTTTCTATTTTAATTTATAAATTAGATTTTAATATCTTTATTATTAATTAAAAAATAAAATTATGTGCATAACAATAAATTGCTTTCTTTCTAATTTAATTTAATAATTAGAATTGAAAAACATGTGCTAACATTTAGTCATTTACAGTGCAAATATATTCATGTTAACTAAGGTTCTCATCAAACATTTAAGATGGTTATATAATTTTTTACGGCAAAATTACAAAAATGATACACTAAATTGGGCGTTGTCAACAAAAGAGACAATTTGTTATCCCTTACGGAAAAGATACACTTAGTTGGCTTATTGCACGAAAAAGATACAAATTTACAAAAACGATACACTAAGTGTATCTTTTATGCCTGACTTTGGATTGCTTATGCCCGACTTAGTGTATCATTTTTGTAAATTTGTATCTTTTTCGTGCAAAAAGCCAACTAAGTGTATCTTTTCCGTGAGGGACAACAAATTGTCTCTTTTGTTGACAACGCCCAACTTAGTGTATCATTTTTGTAATTTTGCCAATTTTTTACCATTGCCCAATAAAAGTTAGAGGAATTTACACCCTATACTATCAATTATATTTTATATTGCACATTTACACCTAATTGATATTTATTTACAAAGATACAAAATCACCCTAAAATAATTACACATATACTAGAATTCAAATTTAAGTAAGCTTATCCTTTAATTAGGGAAAGGGACGGATTTAATGAAATTTTATGCCTTAACTTCCTTTTATTCCCTTTTATTTTCATAATCTTGTTTCATGATCTCATTACTTCGTGGGCGGTGGCCATAATTTGCTTCTCTATTTCAGCCCATTATTTATCTCATTCAATGATATCGCTTTCTCATTTAAAGGAGTTTTGACAAATTTTGTTGCGATTTTCTTTATTAGTTTTGGTGAGTAGAATTGAATGCTGGGGACGGGCAAAATTTCGAATAGTGGGAATGGTTAAAACTGATCTTGATGCAAATGGAATGATCATTTTTGTTGTTCTTTTTTTTTTATTTTTTTNAGTTGGTTGCGGATGGTATCAATGGCGTCGTACCAACTCATTAGAGGAGGGGGCGCGAGCGTTGATGTTGAGTCTGCTTTGGACAAAACCAATAATAAATCTTCATCATCTTCTCCAGCCCACTCGAGCTCGGGCTGTATTAGGTCATCTTCTCCATAGTAGTCGGTTGATCAAGGAATTGGGCTTGGCTCAATTTTCATTTGGTTATCGGAAAATTGAAATGATCTATTGGAATAGGCGACAAACATCAATGAAAGGCAGTTATGGCAGTTATGTATTAGTACCCGTAAATGTTGAGTATATGTTGAGTATATAGACAGTATATTTTCAGTTTATAGATATTTTTTGTCTGGATTATTTACATTTTGGTCAGACGGCATGTATATGTTGAGTATATATACAGTATATTTTCAGTTTATAGACATTTTTTGTTTTCAAAATATTCAAAATCTGATTTAAAACAAAAATAAACTGATTTTTGTTGTTGTTGTTGTTGTGCATATTTATAGGTTATATACATAGTCCATTTATCATATAAAGAATGAAAATCATCATAGGTGACTTCATCCACAAAAATATAAAAAACATATACCTTCAATATACTAAAAAAAAAGATACATAACAGAAGATGGAGTATATGTTCAAGATATGTTCGGTATATTAGAAGATTTTTTTGTTAGAGAATAAAGTAACCTGTTATAATATGTTTATAAACTATATATATACTATTATGTATAAAAGTAAAAAAAAAAAAGAAGGATGGCGTAATTTTTTGATGGAAGACATGTTTTTCATTGCAACATATACTGAATATATACTAACATAAACGCAATATATACCACCTGACAGCTGTGTGAATTACAAAACATGTTTTTATTTCTCTCTATTAAAAACGTGCGCGAATTAAGGAATTAAATGAGGCAGTTATTTATTTTTATTTCTCTTTCTTAATCAAGTGCATAAAAAGGGGGATGGAAGTGTGAATGATATGGTAACTTACTTTAGGCATTAATATAGATAAATAAAGTCTTTTAGGTAGAGACATAATTATTTTTGCTTGTATGGTAAAATTGCAATTAATTTAAAATCATATAGCATACATAAAAATTTCCCTAAAAGTTATCCCCAAGATTTCAAAGGTTATGAACTTTTTATGTATAGTTTTAGCCCATAGACACAATCCATTTAATAATAGACTAGTACTATTACCATTTACATTTTACCATATACACAGCTCATTTATTTTTGTATTTAAGGCCCACTGGCCCAATAATCTCAGAATATGCATGTGGTGTAGTGTATCCCACATCGGATACAGGAACCAAAAACTTCTACTATATATTTGATCCTACATTCACTGCTTATCAAGACTTAAAGACTGAACCGCTTTGGCCGCGGAACTGTTGCCGGGTCGGTTCAAATGGTTTTAAGGTGATTTTGGATTCCAGTGGTTCTATTGCTCAAATCGGACCGGTGTGTTGGCCGATTTCCGATCGGATCGGCCGGACCGGTTTGGTTTTGATAACCTTGGGTTCAAGTATAAGGTGGAAAGTTTTCATTTTCTCTTACCTTTGTGTTTTCGCCATAGCCGAGCTTGGCTAACGAGCTACAGGCTTTGATAAACCCAACAATCGAGCTCGCGTCCCCAGCTGTGTGGTTATTGGTGATGCCGATGGTGATGATAAACCCAACAATCGATCGAGCTCGTGTAATAGCCCAAATTCTGTATTAATAAAAGTAGCAGTTTTAGTTCCAAGTTTGAACTTTTTTTCCTTTTATTAATATTGCTCGTCTCAAGTTCCGAGCCCAGTTATTCAGCTATTCAATCCCAGTTATTAATTTCGGTCCATTAATTTTTAGTAATGGATTTTATTCAGATGGAATTAATTATCCAAGTTGACAAATAATCGAAACCGAGTATGTTTCAATAAATCGTCCAAGTCAAGCCGTGTCCGGAATCGAGTCGTTCGGTCACGAGTATCGCGCCCAGTTCGCGCCTAGCCAATTCTCGAGCCCTAGTAGTCCCGAGTCTTGTTCGAGCCCTAGCCGTGCTCATAGCCTTACTTAGAATATTTTCTAAGTATGAGATCATTTTTATCGAGCCTTCGACATCATTCCCTCGGCCTAAATAACCCTGCACCGAGCTCGTGCACGGGTCCGAGTCCTCGCGCCCAAGTGTTGCGTGCCTCGCCAAGCCGCGAGTGCCCAAGTCATGGCCGAGTGTTTTGAGAATTTTTCTAAGTGTTTTGAACACTTAAATCCACCCTTAGACAAGAGTTAGCCTCGGCCCAAGTGAATACCGAGCCTAAGCCAAAGCTGCGCCCTAGTCCGTGCGCCCATTCAAGTGCCGAGCCAAGTACATGAAATTCTTAAAAATATTTCTTAGTATTTTTGGGCATCCATAGTCAGCCCTAAGGTGTGCTATTTTTCCGGCCCAAGAAATGTGGCATTTTCAGCCCAAGGCCGCGCCCAGCAGGCCGCACGCGGGCCGTGTGCGAGCCCAATGGAAAAATTTCCAAGCCCAATCCTATGGTCCAAATCAGACGAGTATGCTGGGGGATTAAGAGACTTAATTCAGCTCAATAAGCCCTAAGTATGTGTTAAGGAAGTCAAAGCATCGTTAGTGCTAAGTGGAGTATGGGCTTGGAATAAAATAATGGGACATGTAAGACCTTGTCCCCTCCACTACCTTGCACGTGACCAGAATCAACATCTCCACCAGAATAAGTGCCTCGGTCAGAGCCATGCACCTGCCACTCCACTCCAGCCATGCAAGAAGACCGTGCCATGCCATGCGTTTAGGATTTTGGTGCGCCACCTTGTCCCCTTGGCCTCATTGTAAACTCCGCCCCTCTCATCTATTTAAGGCCTGCTCCTCAGCATTCTCCAGCTCTTGGTCATTTGAGAAGTTCACCACACTTAAGTATATTGAGGGAGTTAGCTAAAAACCGAGAGCAAGCCCTCAAAGGCTCGGGTGAAGGAAGGCCGCGAGTTCCACTTGTTTCCCTCCGTGTTCTTTTGAGTCTTAGCATCTTCCAATTAATTGTTGGATTGTTCTAAGTCTTTTGAGGCCATCCAATTCAGTCCATAGCCTTCGGAGTCGAGCCAAGGACGCATAAGCCGCGAGTGAGCCCAAGTAATAGCCCTCGCACATATTCGCGAGTCCGAGCAAGGTTAGCTCGTGATTTTTATTTTTCCTAGCTTAATCATGATATTTTAGGAATTATCATGTATTAAAATGATGCCATGCACGTGATGTATGTGTAGTTCCGATTTTTCAAAGATGTGAGCCCTAATTTCGGACTTTTTCGTGCATGCATGAGTTGGCCGTTTTAAGTAGCTTAAAAATCCTCAAAAATCATGAGAATTGCATTGTTAAAAGAGTAGCATGCTTTGAGTTCATATGTTCGGTCAAGTTGGTTAGTGAATTTGAGCTATTTTCACCCACCGAACCAAGTCTATGTGCATGCAAGTATTTAGCCAATGTCCTAGCCTCAATAATTAGACGTGGTTAAAAACTGTCGCTACATTTACAATTAGACGTGGTTATGAACTGCTGCTAACTATGCTGCAAAAATGCCTTCATTATGGTTGAATATATAGCTTCACTTTTTCCCGCGATTTTGTAAAACTGCTACTAAATTACTTGCGACACATGTATAGGCGGCAGTTTAAGAAATGCTGGTAAATGTGCTGGTAGCGGTTAAAAACCGCTGCTAAATTTAAAATAAACTGCCGCTAAAATTTATAATTTTTGTAGTGAATCCACCGAACCAAACGCAGAATTTGGCCTGGATTAGGTGGGATATCCTGGCTAGAAAACAAACATGGGCTTATATGTATATAGTTCTGCTAAGTGAATAAATTTTCGCTGGCTCGAACCAATGGCTTGCAAATAATGTCAACATATTAACTTATACTGTTATTGAGATGAAATTGAACATAGCATGATATATTAACTTTTGTTTTTACACACGTTAATTTGCTGGCCACAAAAATGGGAAGGTCACAAAAAGGCGAAATAAATAAGCTAATGAACTTATAGTAACTTGGTCCCCTATCACAATTTTGGGTAATTGCCTATACATCTATATGATATAAAAGCAGCCATAAATATAAGTTGAGACTGTAACATTGAGGTACTATACTATTTCGTTTCATATATTTATGGCACAGTACAATAATTCTGCAGAGTCCAATATTTTATGTAATAAAATTCGCACTAAATTAGATTCTATAATTAGATTTTTTATTCAATGAGAAAATGAAACTCATATTATAAATCTTCTATGTTTCTCACTTTCCTCCACTAATGTCTAGATATTTAGAATAATTGGTGAAAGTATATATTCCTAATTAATCACAATAGATCAGTCCATAGATTAATTGATTGATAGATTATGACTTGTACAATTAATTATCCTAAAATGACCTTACAAATGGGGAAATTAGGCAAAAATTCAAAATTATTCTTATAATTTGGCCACTGTCCAAAAAACCACCTCGATATTGACCACTTTCATTTTAGGTCCTATAATTTATCGATTTCATCAATTTTGGTCCTAACTCGCACCCAGGATTGAAAAGTGACGTGGCATAAAAAAAAGGACCAAAATTGATGAAATTGACAAATTATAGGACCAAAATTGACGTGCCACGTAGATCATAATCACGCCATGTAACATTAAAAAACTATACGTCATGTCACGTCACTTTGTAATCCAGGGTGTGTATAAAAAGGACCAAAATTGATGAAATCGACAAATTATAGGATCTAAATTGAAAGTGGTCAATGTCGGGATGGTTTTTTGGACAGTGGCCAAGTTATAGGACCAATTTTAAAATTTTGCCGGGGAAATTATAGTCAAGTTCATTTATCATATGGGCATCATATCTTTAAATAATTAACTTGTCGACCTAATTCTTGAAACATAAATTTTTGTATGAAACGGCTTAACAGTTTGGTGATAAGTCATACTTCGTAAAAGAAAAATGCATACTGTATATTATGAGATGTCATATTTTTGTTTATGTGTTTTTTTTTTAATTACTTACGGCATTTCATTTTGAAAATATAAATATTATTGAAAATATATAATAGTGCAGTTTACTAATCTTAAAGATTATTCCACTCTATATTCAAGTCAGATTAATAGAATATATACTTAGACTAAATTTAGCTAAGATGTGTAACTAAACATGCTTTCAATTAGGGATGGAGAAAATTCTACCTTCACAAGTGCTTTTGCTTCAAAATAATTTCCATTGCCAAACTGTGACGACAAAAATTTCAAATAAGAAAAAAAAATGACCACGATTTTTTTCTTTTTTTTTTTTGTCATTAATAAAAAAACATTTTTTCACAACATTTTTATTTTTTAGTGTTGCTAAAAACTTATTATTTGCATTTTTTTTTCACCCAATTAGTTTTTGCCACACTATGTTCTGACTTTAGTACTTTTACAAACATCCTTTTTTTAGCTGTTTGAACTTATTACATGATTCACCACACTATTCATCAACACATCAAGGGATTTATTCCTCCATTCAATAATGAGAATGTAATAATTATTGTTTTCCTATGTATTGAATGAGTCTTCTTGCTCATTACATATCCCCCTGCACAAAAAAAATTCCCCAGAAATTACATAGATTTCACATGAATTCACACTCCAAAAGTTCCAAAAACATTTATTTCATACTTTGACCTTTTGTTTTCCTCTCAAGAATATTTATTAGTAATCACTATATCACCTTAATGACTTACTTCTAAACAAGAACTCGAATTTCAGTTCATTATCCTGGATCCAAAATCCGAGTCCCTTGATTATAAATTGAAATTACCAAAGCCGATCGAGAATTAAACGCAGACTAAACCTTGGCTAGAATCGAACGAACAATATATGCGCCGATGAAGAAACCCTAACCCTAGTACTCTGGATATCATTCCCAAAAAAAAATTCAACTTCGATACATATAAATACACACATAATACAATGAAATCTCTGAATTAAAAAGGATATGTAAAAGATAATATATACACAAATATATATATATGTAACATTATCAACCTCTGTCACANCACAAAAACAACTAATTATCAACTATCAAAATTTTAATTCTAATCAAGCACTTAATAATAAACTCCTTAATTAACCAATCAATCAAATTTAATTTATAACTAATAAAAATCCCTAACTAACTAACTAAAATCCTCCTTATTTGGACCCTTCAACATCTGAGATGGCAGCATATCCTGAAGAAGCCCATGATCCCTCGGCTGAGTCGAAGCAGCAGACGAGGAGGAGGCCGAGGGGCGAAACGGTCTTTCCGCCGCCGAGAACAGAGGCGAAAACCCCGCCGGATTATTATTATTATTATTAGGGTTATTAATATAATTATTATGAAAATAGGGTTGTCGGAAAATGTCGTTGTTAGGCTGCGTCGTTTGGTGGAAACGGAAAGGGTTGAAGTTTAGGGTCGGGTCCGAAAAACGAGGCTCGGGAATGGAAAAACCGAAGGCGCCACGTGGCGCGACGGGACACGGGTGAGTGTGCGTGCCCTCGTAAGTGGTGACGACTATCGATGGATCCTCGGACGACCTCTCGACTCGTTTTTTGACTCCACATGATGTGCTTGTACAACGATAGTAGCTCCTAAGTGTATTGTATTGTATGTACAAAAATAAGACACATGATTTGAGAAAATGTTTGAAAAATTTGGCAAAACGGCCCATGATCATTTACACGAACAAGGAAAATCAAAAGAGGATGGGCTTCTTTTTTTGTTTTTGGTATATGAAAAAAGTTGGATGCATAATTAGTGAATATGATTAATTAATTTTTCTCTCTCTAGAGTTTAGTTTTGATTGTGTGTGTTTGAATTGTGTGAGAAATAGAATATACCTTGGGAAAGGGCTGTTTTTAACGGCCTTTTGGCCGTACTTTCGCCACCGATAGCCATCGTCCAAGTTGTCGATATCGCTTTTGGTCATGAACGCGAATCGGGGTTCTCTTTGCCTCTTCTGGTTCTTCTTTTTCGGTTTCAAACTGATTATAAAAATCGAGCAAGAAAAGAAAAGAAAAAGGAAGAAACAAAAAAGAAAAAGCACCAAATTCATAATTACTCATTTTAATTGATCGTGAATATATATTGGGAAAGAGAGACATAGGTTTTTATAAAACTGCAAAATTTAATCTGTCACACCACTCTAATCACCTCATCATGCAATAAAACACCAAGATCTAGCAAGAACAAAATCTCACCTTTCATATTGATTGGCAGAAATTAATAATAATAATAATAAAAATAAAAATTCAAAACTTACAAAAAAGAACCTTACTGTTTTTTAGTCTTTTCCTTACAGGGCCCTTCATCTCCTTCTTCATCTTCGGCTTCGTTCTTCTTCTTGCCCTCGGTCGAAGAGGATGAAGCAGAACACGACGAGACGGCAGTGGCCGGAGCATTCGCCACGTCAGAATATTCCGGCGGCGGCGGCGCCGCGTCATCGGCCATCGTGGGTCCTCCGGCCGTGATGTTCCGGAGAAGGTCTTCGAAAACGGAAGACGATGAGCCGCCCAACATGTCCAAGAATCCGAGCCGGGTCTCGGGGACTTGGGGAATAATCGGCGGCGGCGGCGGCGGCGGCCGGCCGGGGCGGAGGTGGATATTCCGGCAAGGTGGGGTCGGCCCATCTTTGTCCTCCTCCATGGGTTGTGATGATGAATAATGATCAAGAGCATAGATTCCTCATGGAATGGTGGCTGGCTGTTTGTCGGAAA